AATTGATTACTACTAATAATAATAATTATAAAAATAATCCGTTTTCATTTTTTAAATAATTTTTCTAATAAAGTTGAATAACATTGGAGTCATTCTGCTAAACAAAAGAAAAAAAAATTCTGCATTCTTTTCCTTAATTTTATATTTTCTTTTTCATTTTCTAGACAAGGACAAGTTTTATCTCATTGCCATTTTAAATATACTTAAAAAAAACTACCTCTTCATATTTATAAACCAATGTTTGTACGCTGCCTTAGTAAAAAGTGACTGGTTGATTTTAATTGTTTCCAAGCTAAAGACAGTCATTATGGTGGAATTGTACATTGATGTATCGATCATGGAGCCTGGTTTGTTCTGGGTAATTAAGCTGTGAGTTCTGCTGGGAATTGATTGTTGAAAGTTTAAAAGAGAAGTAAAAGGTCAGAATGAACACATCAGCATCCGTTTAAGAGGTTCAACATAGAAAGTTGTCCTTCTGTATTAGAAACATGGGGATGATTATGTGCTCGTGTCTTTACGTGTTAAAAGGCAGGTTTTTTTTTTTTTTCTGTAAGTTAGAAAAAAAGTTAAATTATTCTGCATTCTTTATTTCCCTCATGCTTTTCAGGCCAGATAAGACATGTTTAAAGTAAATTTAAATATACATTTTTAAGCTCTTTCTTTTCCGTGGAAATAATATTTGGTTTTAAAAACAAATGTTCTAATAAACTTCATTGTTTTTTTAAGCCATATTGTAACCATGATAGATAAGTGTCGCAACAGTCTGGAAACATACAACAAATAAAATTTTACAGCTGTTTTTTCAATTAAGATATTCTCATTCTTAGCTTTTTTCGGAAGGTAAAAATATAAAATAAAGATATTCCATGTGCAGATAATTGCATAAATGAATCTTTTAGATTTATTTCTCATTAAGCTGTTTACTATCTAACTAAACCCCGAGGGTGGCTCAAATGAGTTTCACCTAAAACACATCGAAAAGAAATCTGATTTCAAAGCACTGCTTCGTAAATAATAAAGTAATATGTGAGACAAAATGGTGGGACTACAGTACATGTACATGCAAATTCAGAGTAGAACCCCAAAATGGCTCCCAGTTCAGTAACCAATGATGTTCTGACTCGTTTTCTGTCTTCAGCCAATCAGATGTTGTGGAAATGACTTAGATTGGCGTTTATTTGGGAGGCCTAGTGCGAGCTGATAGGTTACTTGAGATCCCACTTGAAGGCCCCATTGGCTGCAGTGCACCGATGTATTTGAGTAGAGTTACTAGGCTGAACAGCAGAGTTGCCGCCGCGTTTATGCCCCCACTGTGGTGCATCGGCCAATCATGAAAAGCTAGCACAGGGTGGTGATGTTCCTGTATGGTACTCAAGGGCATGACAATGTGTAAGGACACGGCATCAGTGTTTGCTTGCATGTCAGACTCAAGAATTGTACTGTAGCATATAATACCCTTATGTGTGTGTTTGCACACTTGAAACCGTTCCATTGTTTAATCCAGCTGGTATGACAGAGTCTTGCAAAGCTTTACAGTTCTCAAAAGTTTTTCTTTTGGGAGTATTGAGATGTTTCAACGCTACCCTGCTTCCATTGAGCACGGCTTTTCTTCTCCACGCCCTGTGCCCATCCTCAGAATAGGGATGCCATATGTAGTTTCATGGTCTGCAGTGGTAATGAGTTGTTCTTGGGTGCTCTGCCGCGGACCCCCATGAAGCCATAATTAGCTTTTTCATCACGCTTGGTGTGTGCGCAGCTCATAGGGAGACGCCCATTGTGCGTTGACAAGTTGAGTTCTCCATCTCCTCTGCTTACTTTCTCTATTCTTAGGGCCAACCCGGGGTATGAGGTGTGGCTGATTGGAGGTGAGAGCCATGGTAGGCACTGGAAATCCTCAAATGCAGGCTCCTACAGTAACTGCCATGCTTTCATTATTTCGAGTCCATGTCAACAAAGTAATCAGAAATCTGACCGACTGACAGTGGAAAGTGGAAAGAAAAGGAGAGAGAGATGGAAGACACGGCATCCTTTTGTGTTTTTGTATGGCTGTCTCTGGCTTACATGAACCATACAGTTGCTGGGCCTCCAATCAGAGTACAGGAGAAATACTGTCAAACACAGCAGCTCTCATTATTTTTCCCTCAATTAGTATTCAGCATATTTAATAACCAGGTCATTTTCTTTTAGGTCAGTTATTCCTTGTTGCAATAACTGTGAAGAAAAGGCTTTTTTTTCCCTCCCTTCAAAGCTCATATTGCACCTTATTTGTCATGTGTCTTCATGCTGTATAATTTCAGCTACTAAAATGATTCAGAGCTGAGTTCCGCATGTCAGGCAGGAAGAATAAAGGGAGCTAAATGAGCAGATATTCTAGTCGAACAGAAAGGTGAGTGCCATTAAGGGTTAATTAAATCCCAGCTATGAGTCTACAATGAACACAGACCTCTGTCAGGATGACAACAACAAGAACCTTTTTTCACCAAGACAATCAAATTGATCGGTTTCTGTCATTTTAAGGCCATTTTAAATGATGCATTTGTTCATAAACATCACCTTTCTCAGAGCATGTTGCATTATTGACAACTGATTCACCAGAGCAGTTCAGCAGACTACATGTAGGTTACCTTTATTCAGACTGCAACATGTAAGATGGTTCTTTGAAGGTGATGTACAGGATAGCTTCTGGAAAACGTATTTGCCACCTTTTTTTTATTTAACCTGAAATATTCTTTATCTCAAACTGTGCTTCTTGCTGCTGCATGAATTGTGTTCCTTTATTCCATTCAGGCACTGTTTACTGTGCATCACGGTCTGTAACCTCAGCAAACCGCTCCGCTAATGCTGCAACATTTGTCTGGGAGATGCCTTCTTCTATAATCGCGATGTTCCACATCCCCGTTCATCTGAATTTAGCAATGGAAGTCTCTCACTAGCTCTCTTTTTAGTGGCATTCTCAATAGGAGATTAACAAAGCGTCGGCGTCGGATCTCCCTCCCAGAGCTGTAGGATAAGTTGCCAGTCTCCCGCTGATTTTCACTCTCAGCATCCCCTCATGGTGCCTCATTAAGATGCAGACAAACAAGCGCCCCCAACCCATCGCTACAGTAAGGCCAGGCTTAACATGGAGCTGCTTCGCCACATTTTTGCTGTGCGCTGTGGCCTTCAGCAGCACATTGGTTTTGGCTCTAAGCATGTTCTCTCAGAATGTGCTGTCCTTGTTTTTTTTTCTCCCCCCCCACTTCATATTTTTTCCAGAGGATAAGTATGTGCATGGATGGATGTATTTTTTTTTCTTTGAAAGCGTGTGAGGAGAGGATGGTGGGATTAGCGGATAACATGTGAAGGTCAGCTCTGTGCTGAGTACGGCTTAAATGAGAGGCCAAAGATTTTGATTTCATTCTGAATAATGCATCAAGAGTGTCTGTTTTCAGTCCTTAGGTGTTTTAAGTTCTTTCCAATCTTTGTATTAGGTTTGAGCCCAAGTTTCTTAACTGTTGTTCTTGCTGTGGATGAGTGTCAATGTTCAAAATGTTTTAGTTTTTAATTTGATGTGTTCTTACTCCTTGAACTTTTAACCCTTTTTCATGTTACAACCCCAAACTTCAGTGTAAATTCAGGACTCTATATGAGAGACCATCAAAAAATTGTAAATTTAGTTGTGAAGTGAAAAGAACATTTTATATAGTTTTAAATTTGTTTCACCAATACATGAACTTGTATTCATCCCACCAGAGTCAATACAGCCATGGTACCTTTAGGCTCTGTTTTCAACAACGGTGCTCTTCTAGTGTATAAAACTAATTTCTGCAAGATAGGTCTTGGCCAGAGGGGTTAATAAACAGCAATTTTCAAACCTTTTCACAGATTCTCTGTTGGATTAAGGTTTGAAGTCTGACCAAACCATTTGGCCACATAAATGTACTTAAACCCAAACTATTTTATTTTTGTGCCAACTGTGGCATCACCAGTCTTTAGAGATTCATCTTTCCATCATCCAAAATAGCTTTTCTGTAAACCATCTACAGTACAGACCATGAAGCTACCAAACCATCAGTGTGTAACAATGGGGATGGTTTAGTTATGGTAGATGTGCAGTTGGAGTTTTTCTACAGTGCGTTTTGCCCTAAAAGGCTAAAAGGTTTTAATCTCACCTGACCACATAGCTTGCAGGAAACTACAGAGAGTATTTCCTAGAAATTTCAACTATGCCCTCCTTCTTGGTACCCCTTTGGATTTGTGGTCTGTAAAAAGACCTGAGCTGTGGATCTCTGGGGCTCCTCCAGAGTTACAAAAATTCCTTTAACCTTCTTTTTGCCAACTTTGAAGTAGCACCGCTACCATTTTCAGTTCAGAAATACAAACCAGCTCATTTAGTTGTTTAGAGCTTTGATATTGTCTTATACCAGACTTTAATACAACTTTATCTGTCATCATTCTGGGCTTGATTCTCTATTTAGATGACTTATGAAGGCGTAGAGTTAACTTGAGGGTGTCAGAGTAACAAGAGGTGAATACAAGTGATCAACGTTGAGCAAAAACACTAAAACAAACAATTAATTTTACTACCCAATTGTATGCTACTGCAACAAGTTGCCTATGACATAAAATCATTATCAAATATATATATATGGTTTGTGGTTTTAACAAAATGGGCTAAAGTTCAAGTTTTTGTAGTTTTTAGTTCATTCTTTTTTTTACCAGCTTAACATGAGTATTTTCTCTTATCCTAAACAGTTTAATATAGCTTACACCTATTTTATGTTTTACTTGCACATGACCTCTTCTTTCTTTCTGTTCGAAATTCTTGACACAATCTGAACATATGCATTATCTGCTGTTACTAAGCTAAACCTGGTCAGAAATGTGTTCTGCAGTCTGCACCTTTGTTTTTCGTGCCATGCTCTTCATGCACTTATCTTTGTCTATGCATGTATGTATGAACAATAGTGCAATTCTTTACCTCACTGTGGCACTGTTTGTTTCTTTTTCTTCGTCTACAGAGATGTTGAAGGAGTTGAACCAACAGCGCAGAACGAAAGAGTTTACAGACCTGAAAATTATTGTTGAAGGCAAAGAGTTTGAAGTCCACCAAAATGTTCTAGCTTCCTGCAGCTTGTATTTCAAGGACCTGGTGAAAAGGTTTGCCCCACCCCCCATCCCCCCTTCCGCTCCGCCACCAGCTCTTGATCCAGCCTGTTCTTTTCATAGGGCGCATTTGTGTCGCTTTCTTTCCCTTCCCCTCTCTCTCTTGCAGGTGTGTGAAGACGTTGGTTCCTAGCACAGGGCCAGCAGCCATTCCTTCCTCCACCCACTCAAATGAATGTATCCCAAACTGGAGAAAAAGGTCAACATTCGTCATTATCTTTCCTCCCCATGTAGGGCGATTTTAACCACATTTCCATTTTAATGAGCAGTGAAAATATTCCATGACTGGGGATGTGTTTTTTTTTTTTTCTTCTCCGTTTTTAAACTCACCTAAGGGCCAAAACAAAAGAATCATACATTGCACACATTAGGTGGTAATTTGCAAACGCCACACTGTCCTCCACAAGCAGGTTTTTTTTTCTGTCACCATAGCTTCTATATTTTGTTTGTTGCTCTCAGTTTTTCTTTGATTACCAGTCTTTTCATATGCTAATATATCTGGGTAAGAGAGTTTAAGAAATTTCAGAAGCATTAGAAAGGACAAAACAGAACCACAGCTTTCACAGGTTCTCACAACCATTCACCCAAGTATTCATATGATTTTAATTCAAGGATTCCCCAAGTATTTTGTCCTTTGTGCTCCATATCCTTTTGTCTTTAGTTGCAGCTTTGTGGATTTAGCTACATGTGTGCTAGTCATACATGACTGTGACTGTGTGTCTTTTTTTCTTCTTTACATTTTTCACCGAGGCAATACAATAAATCCCTAATGTCGTCAACTTTACTTTAAATCCCTGCAGGTGCTTTCGGCTTGATTGGACCCAAACTTGTTTTGTCACTTTTATGTTTATTTAGTGTGATTGTGTAGGAGGGAAGTGCTTTGCGAGGACAAAGGAAAGCAAAAAGATGTACATCCTAGTGATAGCAGGATTGCCGTAGGGAACTATGCCACTTTGCCTCGCAGTCACAGTACCCCGACGTTGAGCTCATCAGAGGACAGAGTGCTGCTTATCAGCTGTGACGGCCTCCTGGCTCGCCACAGATACACTTGTTCCTCCTGAACAGGGAAGGGATGGGCGGGGGGGGGGAGCCTGAACAGAGGTGGAAAAAGCTGTGGAGCCACGTCCTTTAAAGGACTGCTCATCTCAATGACAGCTGCTCGAACCATGAATAAAACACAGACGGAGACTCTTCCTTTGACCTTGACTATAGCACATCTATTTCCTTAGACACTTGAAGTGATTTTTGATAAAATTGAGGCCCCTGTGCTCGTGAACCTGTCCATCAGGCTGTCTTGACTGCAACTCTTTTCTGAGAGAAAGCCCAATCATTTATGTGCAAAGACAGGGTCTCATCACAGAAAAAAGGTCCCAAAGGAGCAGAAGGAATTGCACCATGCTAATCTTCATACCCGTTGACTCTTCTATTGTCTGGTTCCCCTTGTTTCTTCAAAAAAAAAAATCTTAACAAGTTAATATAAATAAAACTTTTTGTTAGGTAACATTTATTCATAACTGTCATTTGACCTCTTACTGCCAAATGTCCAATTAATGCTGGAAAATTTTCTGCACATCAATCAGTTTCTAAGAATTGTGTTAAGACCCACTCTGACCCATTCTGTGTCCAAAGTATAATTGGTTCTTATTTTACCCATTGGCCTGCTGATTTTTAACAACAGTAATACAAAAGATAAGATAAGGAAAACAATCAGATTTTATTATTTCTCTTATTTATGTTTTACTCTTGAATTTAAATAAAGAAAATAACAAAGATAAATGTGATTATCAAAAAGCTGGAGAAAACTGGAACTACTTTTAGGCACTTACTGTAGTTCAGCCTTCCTGTTAGCAACCAAATATTTTGCTCTCGCTCAGTCAGCAGACGCTGTAAAAAATACATTATTATTTTAAACTAAAGGCAGATTAAGCTGAATAATGTATAATTCCCCCCAAAGCCAGTGCATCTGCAGTATTTTAAAATGAATAAAATTGTACAATGGGAAGGCAGCACACTGACTGACTCCTAGCTTACACTTTCACAAAGGAAAAACCAGGCTTTTTTTAGCCATAACTGAAATACTCACAACAACCTCGGTCAAAGAAGAGCAAAGACGGCCAAAGGCTTGTCTGTCTCTGAGTTACAACCTCCCATGTGCTGCTCAGGTCACTTTTTGTGCCCGGCTGGAATTATGCTGATGCTACACGTGGCTCGCTACTGTCCACATCTTTATGAGGTCAAATAACAGAAATACGAAGAGAGGCTTTCATCTTCGTATATGCTCTGTATTCCGTCCTCCCCCTCCCAGCTGGTTCAGAGAGCATTTATTGCCAGTCGTAGCCCGTGTCAGCTCATAAAACACCAAAGTGTTACGAGAGTGTCCAGTATCTGCTTAGGATTGGAAGTATTTGTTCATAGTAATCAACAGGACGTTTGTTAAGGTGTCTTATAGTGTTCATGCTTTTCTTTGTGGAAACAAAATGATAGGCTACTAATGTGAAATTTAAGTGGGCTGTATTAGTCAGAGCAGAAGAGGTGTTATTCTGCAAAATAAGGGAGAACACATCACATTTATTTTTGTGGTCTACCCACACACACACAAACCAGCAACTTCTATGAGATATAACAGCCTATGCAAAACTGATTGCAGGCTTCACTGCCATTTAAAATGGAAAATTGAAATAATAAAGGTAGATCTAGATTATTCCAGTGGGGTGGTCCCTAGAGTTTACACTAACCAACATAACTTACCAAGGATGCATTCCTAAATATAGAGACACTAGCACCTTTTCCCATCCTTTAAACCAGTTACCTTATCTCTAAAAGGTCCAACATTTAAAGTAGGAGACAGATCATTGCTTGTAATTCCATTTTAGCCCTTGGGATTTTCCATTATTAGTGCTTGCAGGCGTTTAATTTATGGCTACTGCATCGCCACACCACAGTAATGTAAAAGGCTCCAGGATCTTTAAGTAGTCCTGACATGTGCTTTTTTTCCACCACCACCCCTCCCAACCATTTTTCCATCTCTGTCGACCCATGATTTCTGTATGCTTGGTAGTCAGACAGAGTTATGACCATGATATGAGTAGGGAGCTGTTTTAATGCCCATTACATTGTCAGCCTTGTGTGAATACGATCATCCTATCCGCTTTGTTCAGTCCTCTGCTGCACATTCCAGGTTGGGGGAAATACTCATTTACCACAACTCTGTTCCCACTAATATTTATAGGCCCCAGTTTCCTACAATGCCAAATCTAGTTGTACATTAACTTGTTGCAGAATCAAGTGAGCCCAAAGTACTTTGATTTTAAAGGTTTGTTTAATATTATTAAAGTTGTGTTTTTGTGGATTCAGTTAAAGGAAAGGGGTCGAGATAATCGATATTTTCAATGAAACTCTTTTTATGTAGCACTTTTTACTTTAAAACAAGCAGAACACCCCAACAACTGAGTTAGAATTTGTTTACCTGAATGTGATGGAAAACAGCAGTGGTATCCAGAGCTTTATGCAGCTTGCTGAGCTGTTTAAAGGAGAGAATTTGTATTTTATAAATATATAAACAGAGAGAAAAGGGTAGATTCAACCTTATTATGCTAATGAATGCCAGAGGTTAGGTTTGGGGTTTTTCTGGTTTGGTATAATATGAGGATTTGTTTTTCTTTATTTTCCAGTGTCATTGGCCAGTGTCATAAAGTATAAGAAATTATAATGTTTGGTGTTCATTAGAGACATATCAGAAAAGTACTGTAGACACTGCAAACTTGGAAGTAGTTGAACTAAGGGTGAAAAAAGCCTTAAAGACCACAAATGGCAAGCTAATATTAATTTAAACTTGGAACAGTAAAGAAATGTTTTAGAATAATATATAAGAAGCCCTATAAAAATTTACTAGAACTTGCTGAGGTTTTGCATCAGTGTTTTTCATATTCAGTGGGGACGACAATTCTGTTAGAAAGTGGCTTCAGTCTTGTCCCGTCATATTACTGTGCAGATTATTTCACTGCTGGAATAACTGATATTTTTTATTTAAGAAAACTATAATTGTTAGCATATGGTTTTACTTGCTGCTGATAAAGTAGATTATGGAGCCTCCCTGGATGATATACTAAAAACCACAGATAATGAAAGGAGTAAAAAAGATGATCTAATTGAGATGACATTAAATGAATAGAGTTTCCTAATTTAATTTAATTTTAATATTTACCAGAATATTACATAATTACTGATGATAAATACTGATTTATATTTACTTCAGAGTTGAGGTTTTTCCATTAAGCTTTCAGTGTTGTTCCACTTGAATGAATGTTGAAACTTTTTAGCTCCCCACCTGTCACCCCCTTTTTCTTTTGCCCAACACACTGGGCTTGTTTCTGCACAATTTAAAAGCAACTGACTGTAGTTCCAATCTCATTTTCACAGAGTAAAAAAACCATTATAAAAGACAAATTACTCCCAGCATTGATAAAGCTTTTGTTACATTCATTAATACAGGTCATATTTGATATATGTTGTGGCATAATTTAAATGCAAGCCATTTTTAGTATTTGCAATCCTCTATTTTAGCATATCTTGGTAGTGCACGTTCTTCCCTTGAATAATGGTCTTGTTAGAGCCAGCTAGAAGCATTCCCTGTAAACTAGCTTTTTTTAGGCTCAGAGATGAATAAGGTAGTCCGTGGGTGTGTTTGTAATGTTGACAGTCTTGCAGGTTTTTCTAAAAAAATTTTCTTGAATAAGTGGTGCGTTTCTCACAAGCGGATTTCTCTGCCTGAGTGTGCCAATCTTCCTCCGAGCTCACCCTATCTATCCCTCCTCTATCTCTCCTGTCCTCACCGCCTCCCTCTTCAGTATTTAAATTCGAGACTGCAATCAAAAGCAGCATAAATATCCACCTCTTTTGGAGAGCTCCGGAAAAGTAATTTCCATAACATAAGTGCTTAGACAAAACAAACTGCCACTTGAGCCGGTCCCCATTGCACTAATTGACCAAGATGATGAGCATGCTCTTCTTTCTTATTTTTAGCTCCCCTCTCCTCTTCCTACCTTTTCTTCTTCCCTCCTCCCTCCATCACTTTAACCCTGACGAACACTCCCCTTCGCTTTTTTTTCTGTCTTGCTACCTGCCCCCAATGCAGGGTTTTGAAAGGAAAAAGGGCAATAACGCTATGTGGCTTTTTGCTTTGCAGGAGGAAAAACTGTAACCTCTTTGGTTTTTTCAGCTAATGTCCATCCAGAGACAAATGCAGTTGTCTTTCATTTTATTTTGGATGACTTTCTCCTTTCGCACTTCCTGAGTGCACCTCATAAATGACAACTAATGCCTCAGTTCATACACCACAGGCTACTGATGATTATTGCAGCAGGCACAATGGCTCTGTTGAGGTGTGATGGCGTGTTTTTCCGGGGTGGGCTGGGCTATCTCTTATTTAAAAGACCAGGGTACAGTCATGGAACACACCTAAACTTTCCCTCAGAAGGATGGCTGCTGGCTCCCTGTGGAAGGACCGTCTCGCCCTGCTTCCCTTTCCTTTTTGCTTCCTTGTCATCAACCGCATCAGCTCTCCTCTGCTTCTCATCTCTAGCTTTCACTCCAACCATTCCATCTGTGTCATGTTGTTCCTTTTTTTGCTGTCTTTGTCTCACCAAATTCTGACACTACTTCTAACTTATTCCTTCGAAATAAGAGGGAAACAGTCACCTGCAAATGCACACAGTGGCACAGGCAGACATAATCATCACAATAATCGTGCCTGCATGACTGGCAGGAGCAAACAGCCTCCATCCATCTTAATGTAGGCTACTTTTTGTATTGCTGATGTCCGTATCCGCAGGGAGCGAGACATAGTAGAGGGGGCATGCAGTCTGCGGCGCTTTGATTCCATTTATTTTGCCCTTGAGTGGATTATTGTTTCACATGGGACATTAAACATGGGTGGTAAGGTGTTATTTAATGCTCTCATACCTCCCCAAGGAGATCCTGCATGATAACTAATCTCTGCCATTTGATCTGGGTAAAGTCACAACCTGGCCCAGTTCTGAAAGCATCCCTCCACCCCTCCTCTGCACATATTGGGCTCTGCATTACGAAGGGATATCATATTCTATTCAATTTGTGCATCCAAGCACTCCCTGGCACCTCTTACGTCATTCCAGTAGGAGTGGATATGCAGCTTTGATATCCAGCACAGCAGAGCAGGCTCATGCAACAGGCTCTTAACATTGTCACAAGTTCATCTCTCCATTCTCTCTGTTATCTTGTCATGTATGCTTGCCTATGCATAAGATTCATGCATACATGAAACCAGCCATAAACTGCATGCTTTCTTTCAAAAACAATAACATTATTTTTTGCCTAATCTTTGTTCAGAGAAAACATTTTGTTTCAGATGCAGTGCTATAGTTGTAAATCTGCTACCCCATAGAGAAGTAGAACCCATCCACAGTTCTGTGTGTGTCCCTTTTCCTCTTTCTGTTGTTAGATGGTTGTGTAACAATTTTCTTATTTTCCTCCCAACTCTCGTTTTAGCTGTGTGTTGCATACTTGTCTTTGTATCCCTGTCTTCCTTTCTTTGTTTGCTTTTTTTGGTTTGGTCTTTATTGCTGTTCCTAAGAACGCCTCCCTGAACTTGCCTTTCTCCACCGTGATTGGTTGATCAGGTCGTCAGGGGAGACGAAGAGTGGGGAGATGCTGGAGCTCAACATGAGCAACATCGGCGCCGATGTGCTGGAGCTCCTGCTCGAGTTTGTCTACACAGGATCGCTGGTTATTGACTCAGCTAACGCCAAGACACTACTGGAGGCTGCCAACAAGTTTCAGTTCAACACCTTCTGCAAAGTCTGTGTCTCCTTCCTTGGTAAGACATTTGGAAGCACTTTTATTCTATTTAATGCAGTACCTTGAAAAAAATTCAACCTTATATTTAATTAAAGTTGATATCGCACAACCAGAAACTACTGTATTATATTTTACATTTATACAAGAAATGGTGCATATATCTGATGTGGAAGCTATTTTTGTTTTTCCTAAAACTAAAAAGTGTGGTACGTTTTTCTAACCTTGTAATCTAAAAAAAAAAAAATAAATGAATCCAGTGCAAAAACGTGACTTCTGTCGTTCTAACTGTTTTTATACATTCAGATGTTCTGAAAAGGGTTCAAAGTATCAGTGAGTAAAAAGAGTTGAGGAGTACAAGAACAAAAAAGAAAGGTCAGGTATGAAATATTTAGCAAAAATAATCATTGTGCACTCCAAAAAATCAGGCTTTTATGAAACAATTCTGAATAAAATTGTGAATAAAAGAAATTAATCCAATTAAAGAAGATCAAAAGTGACGTTTAGCTAAAAGTTATTATCGCAGATTATCTTGAACACAATAAACATATGGTACTGCTCAGTGGTGGCAGTATACTGCTATGGGAATCCCTCTCTCCTATAACTTTGACACTCAGTGCAGCTACATATTTGAGAATCCTTCAATGAAAATATTTTACGAGGTCACACAAGGCTTAGAACTGAGGCATAGTCTCACCTATTAAGACCATAAATAAAAATAAAAAGACATGAAAGCTGATGTTCAGAGACACTTTCGATAAAATCTTACTAAGATTGAGCTATTTGGCTAAAAAGATTAGAAATAAGTTTCAGTCCAAATATGGAGAAATAAGTTATGGCCCCACCCCATCAAGACTTACAGCTCTAATTCCAGGAAAAGGTGTTTCTACAGTATATTGATTAATGGGCCTAAAGATTTACTAAACCCCAATTAATTTTTTTTGTTTTGCAGACAAACTGTAATACTGTAAATGCACTTTTTTAATGTCACTATGCATAAAGTAACATTTTTGTGCTGCCGTCTTTGGGTAAAACATGCTTACTGCAGGGATTTGTTCATTTTGGAAAATTTCTACGTCACACCACCTAATACATAATAGTGCATTTAATTTACCTTTGAACAGATTGTAACGTGACGTAAACTGTAAGAATTATGAGCATTGATTGATAGCATTTTTTCAGCTGAGTTTTTTTTTGTGCCTATTAGTCAGCATAACAATCACATCCCTGCTTAACCCTCTCCCACATTTTACAGTGCCACAGTATTTCTTGGCATTGCTCATTTTCAAAATTCCCTGGTGGTTAGTTATACTTTAAAACACTGCAAGCCACAGTTTTCAATACTTTGTCAAATGGCTAAATTATTTGAGACCTTGTATTCTTTCACTTGCATACATGTAACATTTTTTGGTCCATCACATGAAACATTGGGGCTATGATGTGGCAAAATGTAAAGAAACTTTTAAAGGATATGTATTTGTTTTTTGCAAGACATTGTATATAAAGACAAGCTTTTCTACGATGCATAACCTCACAGACTTCTGGGCTAGAACTAACCTTTTTTCCTGGTTTTTAACAACACACTCCTTTGTGTTTCCACAGCTTAGAACCCTGTTAGAATTCAACTTGATATTTCTCTCAGCTGGGCATGGTGCCTCTGATTTTGTCCCAGTGGACAGGACGGAGCACGAGCACAGATTTCTAAAAAGGTCAGGGAACAATTGTCACTTAAATGTCAAATCTTCTGGCCTAGACAATGATGGAGTTGAAAAATAGCCAAACAGATTTATACCCGCAAAAGGTACAGAAAGTGGAGCACACAAGAGGAGTGGTTTCAGAAGTCCTGAGGGGTCATATGAAAGGCAAATGGCATGTTGCAAAAGTCTGTGGGTCAGGCAACCAAAAAGCTGCAAATGTCAACTTTTGCATTTCATTTAAGAGATTCTTTTGAGGTATCTGTAACACAAGGGAAGGGCATGTTGGCAAAAAGGTCAGCAGCATAGAAAAATGTAAAGGAGAACTGGAAGCACATGATATTGATTTGTTTTTCTCAATTTGGGAAGGGGAAAAAAAAAGATGGAAGAACACATTTGTAACCTTCATTGCCAGCGAGACGTCAATCCATTCTTCCTCGACAAGATTCATGACATTTTAGCACATTAGAACGAGAGAAATACAGGCACAAGCGCATGTCCTTGAGCAAAGAGGAATTGATACTGCGTCAAGAATTATTGAGGTTTGTAACAAATACATCTAGGATAAATGGCAAACATTTCCTCAACCTATTTCCAGTGTACAACTTTGACCTTTATTTATCCATCCTCATAGTCAAAGAAACAAAAGTAAGTCAGAGTGTTTGGTGTCTTTCCTGCTCTATTTGAAGTCCTAAAGTCTGAGGGATTATCTTTTTGATGGTGAGATCAGCAATGCCTCCAGATAGACTCAATCCCTGTGACATTGCATTGCAGAGGTATTTATATGCTTTGAACTATTTTACTCTTTATCTTGTTAGAGTCACAGCACTCTGTGTATTTCTTAGAGTTTAATGTGATTGACAGATACAAAGTGTAAAAATGAAATGTTTTTTAAACCATATTGACGACAACAAAAAAGTATGATGCTTCTTTGTATTCAGCCTCTATTACTCTGATGCCAATTAATAAAATCCAGTTCCTCAGATGTTACCTATTAAGAAATCCACCTCAGTGAAAATTTTAATAATTGCATTCTGTGAAGGCAATAGATATTCATAAGAGAATGCTAGTGAAAAAACAGCCCGATGAAGACCAAGGAAAACATCAGACAGGTCAGGGATAAAGTAATGGAAGGGTTTAAAGCAGCTTTAAACATCTAATAAAAGGACTCAGTCCAACTGCATATCTACTATACCAAGGTATGCAGCAAAAGAAAGTTTTTTAATGTTGTTTTTCATAAACAAAATCTTACAAGCTTTTTTTTCCAAGTTCCGTATAATAAAAGCAAGCATGCAGAGGGGGTGTTCGGGTACGAAGCAAAGTCACTTTCTAAGGCCTGTTTGCTGAATTTATTTGTTCTTTTCTGAATCGGATGGAACCTCATTAAACTGTATCTCATTCTATTTGATTTGTGCTGTGGTAGGAACATATTCAAACCTATAACCTACAAAACCTACAAAAAAAATCCTGATAAATAGAGTTGGACCCTCATAGTTTAGATCAAAGGATATTCATTTATTACTATGTCCTAGTCAAAGTCCAGACCTACATCTGTTAGAGAATAATTGGGAGACATACAATTGATGTTCACAGACTCTCCCGGTTGAATAGGACCAAGCTTAAAATATTTAGTAGGAAAATGGGAATAATTTTAAGCTCTAGATGTAAAAAGTTGGTAGAGAGAAACCACTGTATGTACATGTATGGACATGTTGGGAATAAATTAAAATACTACTCACTAATTTTTTTTAACTTAAAAAAAATTATGTATTCCTCTCCTCCACATCATATCTATGGGCTATTTTGTGCTAGCCTATCATAATAAATTCTAATAAAATACATTATGATTCCTGTTTGCAACATGACTGAATGTAAAATGGTTAAATTCTATGAATACTTTGCAGCTTTGCAGTATTAATAACTTTTTTTTTACTTTCTACAAACTGGGCTTTGATCCTGTTTACATCAAGGAAACCAAGTTAAAGAGAACATTTTGAGGATGTGAGCAGCCATGATAAAATAAGTCATTTCTTAGAGAAATATTTTCAGATATGCTTTGTCTAGGCTCGATTTAGGCTCAGATCAGGCATCAGCACTGCTTTAATTTGCCATTTCCTTTGACTTTGTTCACTTGGGATTTGCCAAAGATTTACTGACCTTTGTTGGCTATTTGTTTAGAAAAGACTGTCAGACTCTGTCTTCAGTGATAAACATCCTGGTGTTTCCTTTGATGATCATTATTTAATCAACCCTCTTCCAGCAGCAAGCAAACTATTTTTCTAAACCTTTACCTGCCTGGTGTTTACCCACGTCTTCCTTCAGGGACATCTTTTGTGATAAAACGGTATTGTTATTTGTTGACGTCGCTTTAAATGCTTCGCCGGTACGCAAGATCACAGAACGTGGCTTAAGCCTTGTTCCCGCTGGCCTGGCCATCAGGGTGGTTTTGTGCTTATGTGTGTGTGCACATGGCAGATCCCGAGATCTGACAGGACTTCTTTAAAGCACCCCAACTAATCCCACATCCTGCTACCTGATATCCTCCACCTCATGCCTGGGCTGTGAACGATCGATTCCCCCAGTTGTTTGTCCCCAAAGCTGTTTTGAGTTATTATAGTTGTTCTCCCTTGGTGTCAGGCAGATACAAAGCCCAGTAGGCTCTGAGAGTGTGCTACCTGGAGCTGCTTTGTCTGTTATTGTTGCTTCTTACATCTCTTTATGGATGTTTGAAATGTGCTTTGTCCCCCCTGTCTTAATCAATCAGCCTTTGTCTTTTGTTTCTTTGTTGTTTCTCCCCCCCTCCTCTCTTTTTTGTCCCTTCCTCCTTGTCTTTCCGACCTTCTTTATTGACTCCAGAGAAACAGTTGACTGCTGCTAACTGTCTGGGAGTTCTAGCCATGGCTGAAGCCATGAGTTGCACTGAGCTCCATAACATGGCCAAAGCGTTTGCTCTTCAGAACTTCCCTGAGGTGAGTAGAGCTCAATCAGCTCCGTCATCAACTTTGCACCTATAAAGAAATAATATAAAATAACGATAGCAAAGTATAATTTGGAGATACACATTGTTATACATGAGCATGTTTTTGACTGTTCTGGTATTTTTAATGTGAAAAAAATGTATCTTCTCTATCCTCTGTGTGGCTCTACTATTTTAAAACTAAGATGTTTTTTTATTTTTTTATTTTTTTTGCTCTCATTCAGTTATTTCAATAAGATCATTCCTGAGCCACTTACAAATAAACTGCACACTTCTTATTGTCAAACAGCTGGGGTTACACTGTACAATAACCATCAAATCTATCATTTATAAATGGTAAAGATACCATTTATTAATGATTAACAGATGGTTTAATAATATTTGATTAATTTCTCAAACTGCATCCAAGTTATTTATGAAAGGCAAAAGGATCATCTATTACAGTATTAAGCCCACTGATGTTAGGGTAAGGGTAAGTCCATCATGAATGGGGAAGTCAACTTAAAAATAAAGGCTAAGTTCAGGTCTTAAAGGTATAGAGGACAATCTTTTATTTCCGAGTGGATCATCTTAATAAGTGGTCCTCCTAATTATCAGTCATTCTGGTGATATGTTCACATAAGGCCGTCCTATGTGCTCGTCCCGTTAGCTATCTTTTTCTTCACATGCCGCACTTTTACGCATATATCTGTGGTGAGCTACGGTTTCAGACAGTCAATGAAGCTCACCTTTTTTCTTTGAAAACGGCTGAGGGTCGTAAGAGAAAAAGTGTCTACAAAGTGTATGAGAAGAAAAGAAAATCCTCACAAGAGGCAGATATATCCCGGAATGCTCTGCGAGGAGAGCTCTCCTTGCAAACATTATGGCACATAACAAAGATGGGGCAGGCAGTGGAGGAGGAGTTATGTGACCACCAGAGCAAAAAGCAGTGATCACCTGTCCGAACGGTCAGTTAACTGAGTTCGCTATTAACATTCAATAGGCGTTTCTTCTTGGGAGCGGGTACAGGGTTGTGCATGTGCACCTTTTTAAAGTGGAGAGGGTGCAGTTTATAAATGATTATCAAACAATAATATATTTTGCTTATTTAAAGAATGTTTGTTGTAAACCAAAGCAGGGGACTCTAAAGCTATGTAGGAGAATAATGATGCTGGTTAGCATTAATATGCTGTAGTAACCTTTTTAAAACTGTAAGGTCATTCCTGTGTAAAATGTATGGACTATGTGTAAAACCGGATCATATGCAAGGAAGCCGGCTCTTTAAATGTTCTCCAATAATCCTACCCAACAGACTGGACAAATAACCTTGCTGGATTATTACAGAATGGATAAAAAAATATATGCTGTCAGGGTTTGACTTGCTAAACACCATTTGACCAAGTTTGAAGCAAGGTGTACTCATACTATCCAGTGCAAAAAATGTATTAGAGAAAATCAATTTATATTCCTTTAAAATGTATGCCATATAATCATTAAATTCTGAAAAAGAAATGTTTACATGCGCTTGTAAAACCCCAAACTGTTGTAATGGTAATGAGTATATATGAACCTCTGACCAGATGTGTGTTCAAAGCTGCTTTTAAATAAATTACTGGTAAAGATGCAGACAGATACCTACTGAAAAACAGAAGAATTCAAAGACTTCTCAGTTGTTTTGTACCTTGAATGAGAGGAAAATCATCCTAAATTACTTAGAAATGATAATGAGAGCATCAGAGCATGGAATCAGAAAATACACAGCAGCGTTTGAAAGCATGCTGCTTCTCTGACCTTGCCTTTGCAAGAATAAAATACACATAATCTTAACCTTTGGTTGTGTTGAAATAGACAGCTAACCATTTGTAAGGTTTTAAGTGAATTGTTTTTCATAGGAGATTAGGGCTGCATAGAAGTGAATGGATTATTCAGCAGGTTTTGCCTTAAAGGTTTTGTCCACATTCACTGCTGCGTGTAAAATCATTAATTGCTATTGAGCTTTATGCTTAATTGCATAATAGAAAACATTCATTGCATTTTTTTGCAATTGTGTCTGAGCGACCATCATAAGTTTTTGCACTGTTCAAATCATCATCTGATACAGCTATCAGTATGACAATCTCCTAATCTGGCTTTATAAAAGGGTGGTGGGAAACCAACTGTTCTACTTGAGTTCTATTTAAAATATATGTCAAATGATGTATGAGCACAGCGATCGTGTACTCTTACATAAAGCTTGGAAATTTGTAATTAAAGGTCACTATAGTGGATGGGACTACCATCCGCTGAGGTGACCTACGGTCCAATGGCAGAATTATTCTTCGAAGAAACTTTTTTTTTTGTTGGGGCAGGAAAGCTGGTCAGAAACAGAAGGAGCTAAATACAAGAAAAACTGGTTAGAAGCTGCAAAAGATGTAATACTGCTGGATGTTTACAGCAGAACTGGAGGAAACATGCAATAGAATGGTTTTGAATAATACATGTTTAGGTGTTAGAGCAGCCTAGTCAAAGTCCAAACTTAAATCCTATATTTGTGTGTATTGGTTCCTGTTTGTAGACGCTTAAACTCATCCGATAAAAGCGAGATTGAGATACTTGGGTTGTAGATAATTATGTGTAACTTTCTGGTAGTCTGCTGTGTAAAATCCTAATTTAGATGCATTGAGTAAGGTGGCTGTGAGATTACAACATTTGAAAATATCCTAAGAAAACTCTTTTTAAGGAACTAAAGTATATAAAAGAGGTTTAATCTACGATTTGTCAGCCTTACATTCTTTAAAGCTACAGTGTGTAATAATTACAGGGATATACAGTCAGAAATGTAATATATTATACATAATTATGTTATTTATCATCACCTATGAGCTCAGCCTCTTAACCTTAATATTTGCGTTGCCTTAGAATTCGTTATTTATAATTACATAGGAGCGGGTCTCGCAGCCATGGAGGCAGACATCTTTGCGCTACGGCAGCGCAGAGCCAATAAACTAGCGATTGTGAGATCACCCATTACGCTCGAAAGTAACTACGGCAAGTTGAGCGAGATGAACTGAGACGGTACTGAACAATAGATGGCAGTATTAAAATTATCTATGTAAACAAACCTCATCACTTGAGAAGGTAGGTGATGCGGACGTCGTGGAAGACATTTTGTGCCGTAACGCTCGCCGTACTGTTGGGGGGGAGAAGCGGTGGGGGGGAGATGTTCATGTTGCTGCGGTCTGCAGTCTGGACGTTAGATGTCGTTGAAAATTACACACTTAAGCTTTAAATTTACACTCTTCTGATTAGAAGTTCTACAAAATAGTAGCTATAACAAGTTTTATATCTGTTTCTATTTGTATGTGATGTAACATCTTCATGTAATCTAAAAACAATTTTAAAGCAGCTTTAAAACTGGAAGAAAATGATTTGGATGCATTAGTCTATTAGCTGAGGTCAGGTCACCATGCCGATGATGGACAGTACGCCATTGTACTCTCTTAATTCATGTTTTATTCTTATCTTGCGCAGCTTTCAAAGGGTAGAGTTTATGTTTGGTAGAGAACTGTAATTAAATGTCAGGTGGAATTATATATTCACAGATTATTAATAGTTGATAGAGGACATAAATCAGACTGTTGAAAGCAGAATTGTCTCAGACCTGAGTCTCAGACGTGTGTGAGATTGTTTGCGTATTTTTAGTCAAAGTGACCCCAAGATGCTTTATCTGAACAACAAACTGACACTTATGGAAAAACATGTAGATATAGTTTTGACAGATGTCTTCTGCTGCAAAGGTCACATTGATAGAAATCTGTAAGGCTGGTTTTAGAGTGATGCTGAAAAACTAGTTTCAGTAATCCTTGAAAATAGCTTCAACAGATAAGGCTGACTTACACCAAACCACGTTTGTGCTTTCAGAAGGCGCCTCACCTCATAAGTTTCTTTTTCCTTTTTGCACTGAGTTACAGGAGGTGTGAGGGTCAATACCCCTGTCTGTCAATTAAATATGAGGCTACCAACCTGGAGACAGTTAGCTTAGCCTAATATAAAAGCTGCACACAGGGGGAAAACCACCAGCCTGTATTTCTTCAAACATGAAAAAAGTTATACATTATATATTAGCTGTGCTGTGAGGCTTCCAGCCAGGGGAGACAGCAGTAGGTCGATGTGCCTGCCAGTGGTTATAAAGAGATCTACTGTATGTGAAATCGCTATGTATTGACTGCATTTGTGCACTTGTCTTTGACTTGGTTGCTTGCTTTAAATGTATGAATGACACATTTTTATCTTTCACATCACGGCATAATAATGTAGGATGCTTACTGCTTTAAATATGCCAGTTTTTTTAAAGACAGCTTTTGCCTGTCAATATTTTTTTGATTCACATCTCATAGCAATCTTTGAATATCAGGGAAATAATGTAATTCTTAGAGAAAGCCTTTTCCATGAAAGAAAATCCCAAAGATAAAAAATCTGGTAAAATCAGATGAAATGGTCATGTAAAACATCCAAGTTCCTGCTCATTTGTCTTTGTTTTTGCGAACCTTTAACAATGCTGTTTTGAATGTTTCACAAAGTACAGGACAAAAGTATTCATACCTTATTGCATTTTTAAGCACCACACAGACAAGCTTTACTGCATTCATTTGAACTTTATATGATACATAATTCTGAAGTTGAAGGAAATTGTTCCTTTCTTACATTTTGACCAAACATATTGGTAAATGCTGTATTCAGCACCCTTAAAGGTATAGTGGAGGATTTTTGCGAATTTTTGAAAAGACCCGTCCTTGCGTGTGAGAGCATGCACAGGCCCATTTCTACTCATGCACGCTCTATTTAAAAGTTGCTGTTCTCATAGCTGATACAAGCTTACTGTGCCCGAACGGTCAACCTAACCCCTAAATCCCTTAATAACTATATAGAGCGGAAAATATATGGTGGCAAACTCAGTTAACTGACCGTTTGGACAGATGATGACTACTTTTCGCTTCCTGTTGGTCACATAACTCCTCTTCCACTGCACGGTGCCTGCACCATCTTTATTATTAGTTGCCACTGTCAGGTAGCGACAGCGGGTCGCTGTGACAGCAAATCCTGCATCTCTTTGCGAGGAGAGCTCTTCACAAAAAGCATTCGGGGATAAATCTGCCTCCTCTGAGGCCTTTCTTTTCTTCTCTTACACTTCGTAGACACTTTTTCTCTTACAAACCTCTGCCATTTTCAAAGAACTGTGTTTAGAAAGCTGAGCTTCATTGAGTGTCTGAAACCATAGTTAACCACACGTAATCGCCTGAAAGTGCGCATTTGCAGAACAAAGATGGCTAACTGTGGGCGAGCATGTACATAAACACCTGAATGATTGACAATTAGGAGGACCACTTATTTTGATGATCCACCTGGAAAAAGAACATCCTCCACTACAACTTTAAGTCAGTGCAATTACATCTGTTCGTCTTTTGGGTTGTGTTTTCAGTGTTACACCTCTACAGGTTGTAAAAGCCTGTATGTACCCTGCAAGAGCTGAGAAAAGGGTTTAATTGAAGTAGAGAGAACAAGTACCAGATTTTCAATCCCAACTATTCATGCTTTAAGGAAAAATTGAACACAAAGCTCCTGGAATATCTGGGCCAGCGGAGAAGAAGGGATGACAACACCTTTTTGAATTGCTATGCCCTCAGAGAATTTTAGACCAGTCAGACGACCAATGTTGGACACAAGATTAGGCTCTGTTCAGACGGGGTTTTACAGTAAGCACAAACTTCAAGATCACCAAAACAATTGCTGGGAAAGAAACTGTCTTACTCTTTTTTTCACATCACTTGTAAAAAAGAAATGTCTTGCCTCTTTCACGGTATTCAAATCTCTTCTAAATCACATTGTTCCATTATAGCTCTATCTGTGATGAGTTGACTTGAACAGCTTGAAACTCTTCTTTAGCCTCGGTCGCTAAGAGAGCAGTGTGCTGTTGTGAAGTGTCTGAGGGGCATTGGGTCTGTACCCGACTTCACTCAGACTTTGTCATCCATGTGTTTTGCTCTCAGTCACATAAAGACACAGTTCTATTCTGTGCAGTAATTCACAGTGTTGCCACGGCAATGTGGCATGACGGAGAGACCTGTGTCATCCATCAGTGATAGGGATCCAGTCTTTTTGGATTGATTATGCTGTAAAATCCTTATTCTGTATTTCTTAAGATCAGATGAGTCAGACAGGAAGAACATCCTTCTCTAACCACCGGATCACCACTTTCACCAAATCTTGGCCCTACTGTTTGATGCGTAACATGAATTGCAATAAGAATGAATTGTTGTTTTACATAAAATGCCAGGGATGATCATTTTTAGGGCATAACAATAATAGGGGGTAACACTGCTCAAGTTGGAGGTGAATGAGGAAGTTTTTCCTATGAATGTTTAGAGTTTACTCTTCAGAACGGTGAATGTTTGAACATCAGACCAGATCCTTGACGTCTTATAATAAAAAACTGTGCTCAGGATGGTATTTAATTAAAACCTGGTTTCAAAGACTTGAATATGTTGACAAAACTTTTACTTTTAAACATGTTTCAGGTGGCAGGTCAGGAGGAGATTTTAAGCGTGTCCAAAGAGGACTTGGTGGCATATCTGTCCAACGACAGCCTGAACACAAAGGCAGAGGAGCTGGTCTATGAGACTGTCATCAAGTGGATCAAACAAGACCCCCCTTCAAGAGTTCAGGTAATACAAAAACACAAGCTTTCCCTCCTGTTTTATTTATTTATTTTACACTGAACACATACTGTATGTGAGAAAAACGGCTCGCCAGCTCCCGTCTCACGTCAGAGGAGGAGTAAACAGATGACTTGCAAAAAAAATTAAATGGTAAGAACCAGCGGACGACAAAATTCCAGTTAAAAAGCGTGTAGCAATTTATTTACTGGCGATGGTGAAGACAAAAAAAAAAAAAAACAAACAAAATACTTTCAAATAAAGAAAACAAAACCGGCCATTGCAGGCAATACAAAAAACTGACAGCTTCACAGCAAGCTGACATTAAATATAGTTATTTTTAAAGCAGACCTTCCAAAGCAGTTTCTCCAAGCAGCCCTCTCAAGACATTGTGAGTATGCCCGTTAAATAGACCCACCAATAATTAGCCAATTGGGACAGCCCAACTGAACAGGAAGGCAAATCCCAAATAAACCACAGTTAACATTATAGAAAAATTAATACAGACAATATCATCATTCATACAAAAACATACATATTTATGAAATAATTTAACCATACAAACATTACCATTTCACCTACTTATTATCATGCAAACAATTATCACACACACTGAAATCCCACTTAACACCCCTGCCCCCTAATAGTCTTTTCCTTTTTTTTTTATTTATTTATTTTTTTTTTTTTTTTTTTTTTTTTTTTTTTTTTTTTTTTTTTTTTTTTTTTTTTTTTTTTTAACAGTGTCCTGTCTGGCAAGGTGGCAATAAGAATAATTGTCTTGATGCCAAAAGGAGCCCAACAGATTTTACTTTCACAAGTGTAGCGGTATCGCAATTGCCATACTGCTCCACTTGTTTCATGTATATAAATTGCTTTATTATAATTATGCAGGGAGTTTTACAGTTCATATGGACACTGCAATGTAAGTAGAGCAGAAAAACAGAAGAAGAAGAAGGAAAAAGAAAAGAAAACAGGACAAAAGATGAAAGAAAGAGGAGATAGGAAGGAGACAATGACAAAACATTTTCAGTCTGCTTCAACACCTGTAATGAGATGGAAAAAAAAAAAAAAAAAAAAAAAAGAACAGCACAACCAAAAGACATGGTACGAGATATACAATAAAGCAAACACCTTGAAACTATCGCTAAAGTAATATTATTAAGTCTGACATGTACTCTGTGTTACCTGAAGATATGAATGTGGGGTTTCTGTTTGGAAGTGAATCTCCAAGTACCTGAAGCCTAGCACCTGTAGTTGTTTGTGAGGGTGAACTTGAACATGTAAAGTTTAACCATAGAAAAAATGCTCAATAGTGGTTGTGGAGAGCCGGAGAGGCACACCCCCCAGAGCACTGAGTCCAGCGCCGGGAGACCCAAAGCCCCAAGCGCCCAAGGGGACCCCAGAAGCGAAGGCACCAAAGCGGGGCCAGCCCCGGAAATCAGACCCCACCAAGGCAGGAGGAGAGACAGCCACGAAGAAGCCCCCCAGCCACCGCCATGCCGGCGCCCCGGGGAGCCGCGGGCCCCGCCGGCCACCCCGAAGTAGGGCCGGGCACCGAACACCAGCCCCCCCCCCACGGCGCCGACCGAAGCGCCCCAGCCCCACAGAGCACCGAAACACGCCCCGCCCCCCGGCACCATAGTAGTCTTTTCCAATGCCCTGGGACAATGAATAAGAGATTGGCTCCGATGCGGTACGTGTTTCCACACGGACCAGTATTCTGACGGACTAAGAGAAGAGAAAGTGTAATTTGACTGGGAAGTTTTATTGCCGACTACGGAATGTATACTGACGCTGACGCAGTGGATACTTTCAGAGTTCGCTATGCTGGTGAGTAAGAAAAATGTTAAATGAAAGGTGACGTTGTAATTTCAGAACTAGTGTAAATTTCCGGGTGAAATGTTTGGATCGGCCGCCGCCATGACGGCCGGTCTGTGGTGCATGCTGGGAAATGTAGTGAAGGATGCGACGCTGTGTGTGATAGACGGCGGTTATACTTTGGGAACAGAGGGGGAAAACGGCTCCGTTTTCACACTGTATCTGTAACATGATGCAAAAGCCTCTAGATGTTACTGGCTAAACATTGACAGCTCAGACCCTGTAGGTATGTAGAACAGGTCTTATGTACAGTAGACCTGTCTTTTCTGAGAGGCACACAGCATGAAAGACCAGACAGGTAACTCCTGGTTCTCTCCTCATAGTGGTCATCAGCTTTGTTCTAAAGATGTAGCCTAACACAGCAGTTGTTTGTAATCTCAGAAGTACCCTGCCCTCCAAACTTGCATCACTTTTGGTTATTCTTCCTTTGTTTGCTTTGTTTAAAGAAACCATTAGGCTTTCTTTAACCAAACATGTCTGCACTCTTTTTATCCGTAAGGTGTATTCTTTTTCTTTAGGCTATTAATCATGATCAAAAGGTTATATCATACAGATGAGTATTGACAGGAAGGTACAGCAGGTCAAGTTTTAACCAACGTGCAATCAATGAGTATCAAGGTGAGAGACGAAGCTGCAGCTGCATTTACGAGATGGCAAATGGACTCCTGCTCTGATGATACATCTATCCAGCTGGGGGAAAAAAAAGAGCTCTTAAGGTTGTGAGGTATTTATGACTCCATGAATTTCATAGTGATGATTTTAAAGTATTTCATTGCTGTTTTAAAATGTAGTTGATGTTATATCAGACAAATTACCCTGGTCCATCATAGCAAGATTCATTCCCTAAAAGTAATGTCTTCTCATCAAGCAGCTAGTGGGGGTACTGGCTCATAGGAGCTTAATCATTGGCAGTCCAGACCTTAGCAATCAGTATTACATTACTCAGAGCACAAGCGATATTACAATTTCTCACCTTTTGGATTAAACCTCTTGCATTTATCCTTTGATATGTGGTTCTCTATTAATAATGGTGAGATTAGAAAGTGTTAGGTAGTGGGGGATAACTTACAATGAATTCTCACAGCTGTTAATTTCTCCGTGTTTTGTCGCTGTACAACCACAAACTAAATATCTGTAATTGTCAATCATTATCCAGAATGATTATGTGATTTTCAGAGATTCTTTGCTTGTAAAATTCTTTATCATCTTAAAAAATCATTGCTTTTGTGCAGCTTGTGAGAATAAAATCAATATGAATGCATTTATTCCTAGCAATCCTTGGATTCCTACTACTTTTAGATGAGACTTTGATCTAATAGAGCAGATTCAAATACCTAGTTTACTTTCTTTGCATATTTTAATTGCATGTTTTGCAAATAACTTGAACTTACTAGTTTATTAATTTTCATTTTGATTCATTAAAAATGAAAACATGTTAACCATAATGGTCCTGGGATTTGGTAAAACTGGTTAAGTTTATGGGCTATTGATGTGTCCAAGAGGTCCAGACATAAATCCAATTGAGGAACTGGACTGAAAATTTTATGTTCTCAGATGCTCTCCTTGCAGTCTGGCTGAGCTTTATTTATTTATCTTTTTAAGAAAACCTTCAGTGTGTATAACTGTAAATCTGCACTGATGTACTGCACCTCAAAAGACTCACAGCTGTAATTACAGCAAAAAGTGGATCTAGTATTGACCCAGGCTGGCATAGCATCAATGCAAAAAAAAAAAAAATTCTTCTTTTGAAAGGTTTTAAAGATTAGTCTGTTCTTCCTTCAACTTCAAATGTTTGTAATGATCTGAACTGGTCTTATACTGTACATTACAGGTTGTTGATGTTTTTTAAAGTTATAAAGTTATATGAGTATATTTAAAAGGCAAAGATACCAGATATTTTTCTTAGCCGGATATGACTTCTATTAAACTCTGGAAGTAACAATGTTGTGGAAGAGCTTTTTACACAAAGTTCTATGGTGAAACATGAACAGATTTGCAAAGTACCTGAACTTTAAAACATCAACAGCCTTTTAAGGTTAAATCCCCGTAAACTTCACTCAGTTTAGTTAACTGGACTCATTTAATCTCACACTTGATTGGAAAGGTGCACACGCGAGTTAGTCGGATGAAGCAGAAGAAGTTTCCCCGCTTGCTGAGCAACCCACCACACCGGTTCCTGAAATGAGACACCAGGGTCAACCCACCTTCAGAAAGAAAACGAATGGTGGAAGAAGACTCAGAAAAAAGCAGCAGAGTGAGGCAGAAGGGTAGAAAAGATTGAGGGGTGGGCTGAGAAAAGATATGGTGTGAAATAGCAAACTGTGTGAACCTGTGTTCTGATCTGATTCCTGATGGTTTGGCCCTCTGCATGCAGTCATGGCACACAGAAAGCAGTAATGTGATTAAGCTTTCTGTCAAGCTCAAATCTCCTGCTCATATGGTACATAAAAAAAAGCCTGACTCTGTATGCTTGGTCCAACTCCAGTTCGTCATTCCTTTACTTCCTTGCTTCGTTCCCTCCTGCCCATTTGGAGCCAGAGCATGGCGGAAATCATTCCCCCAGAACCTGTGACATTTTTTAATGATGTGTCAGGGCAGAATGTCACTGAACTGCTGTGTGTAAAAAAAAAAAAATAGCAAAGGGCAGGAAGCCTTAAGCCTTGAGAGAACTGTTTGCATTCAGTAGAGCATGCGCCTCATGTGGCATTGTAGATTTGTGGGTCTGTGCGTGTGCCACGAGTTGTAAGCTGTAGGCTACAGAGTGGAAAAGTGGCATATTGAAGAGGCTGGGTAAATAATATGCAATTTTCCCTTTCCACTATGCTGTCACTAACAACCGATGGCACTGGGAAATGGGGCCCGGACATTGCTTAGAGACACAGAAAGCATTTGGGCGTTAGAAATGCTTTTGCTATGAGACACGAAACGTCTGAATTGAAGTCGAGTCCTGTCTTTTTTATGTGTATATCACTAAACGTGTATCATCCTGGGAGTGTTGGGACGGCTGAGAGTGTAAATGATAAAAAAAAAAGCTGCTAAAGCTTTTAAAAAGTGATATAACCCTCTCAGCCCAGGAGTATGTGCAGTAAATAAACCCAAAACAAGTGTTGGTCAAATCAACTGAAACAACC